TCAAGATGTCCATGCATACTATATGCTGTTCCAAACATTTTTATGGAGAAAAGGAGCAGTCTTCCCATTTATTTTGCGGTATCTCTTAACATACAGTAAAAGCATAAAGTTTTGTTGTTGTTAAAGATAGGATCTTGCTCTGTCACCCAGGCTGGAGTACAGTGCCATAATCATAGCTCACTGCAATCTCAAACCCCTAGGCTCAAGCAATCCTCCCACCTTAGCCTCCAGAGTAGCTGGGACTACAAGCGCATGCCACCATACCCGGCTAATTTTTTGTTGTTTTTTTGTAGACACAAGGTCTTGCTGTATTGCCCAGGCTAGTCTCGAACTCCTGGGTTAAAGCAATCCCCCCACCTTGGCCTCCCAAAGTGCTGGGATTACAAGCGTGAGCCACCATACCCAGCCAGACACAAATCTTAATGATAGAACACAGTGAGTTTTTACTCTTGTATCACCTGTGTAACCACCTCTGAGATCAAGATAAAGAATGTGTCACATACCTCCTCTCAGTCAATACCCCCAACAAAGGTAGTCATTATTTTACTTCTATCATATAGATTTATTTGCCTGTGCCTGAACTTTATACACATGGAACAGAACAGTATTTAGTCTTATACCTGGCTTCTTTTACTCAGCATTTAGTCAGTGGCATGCATACATATTATAATGTGGAACAGTTCATTTTTTCATGGCTGTATAAGATTCAATTATAAGAATATACCACAACTTATTTACCTCTTCTGTTGATGGACACTAGGTTTTTTCCAGGTTTCTGCTGTTATGAATAAAGCTGCTCTGATCACTCCTGTACATGTTTTTTGATAGGCATACAGATCTGCTTATTTTATTGGGAGTGGAATTTCTGTGTAATAGGAGATATCAACAAACTGTCAAACACTTTTCCAAATTGGTTGTGCCTTATTAATATTCAAAAATGTTGTTTGAATATATATCTTTTTTTTTGAGACAGAGTCTTACTCTGTCGCCCAGGGTGGAGTGCAGTGGCGCAATCTTGGCTCACCGCAACCTCTGCCTTTTAGGTTCAAGTGATTCTCCTGCCTCACCCTCCTGAGCCTGGCTAATTTTTATATTTTAATAGAGATGAGGTTTCATCATGTTGGCCAGGCTGGTCTCAAACCCCCAACCTCAGGTGATCCACCTGTGTCAGCCTCCCAAAGTGTTGGGATTACAGGCGTGAGCCACCATGCCCAGCCTAGGATCTCTTGAGGGCAAAAGTTTGAAATAATCCCCCCTGCCAATCTTTATATTTTGCTGTTTGTCCTGTGACACAATGGTTATCGCAGGGATTCCTGGCATGCCAGGTTTAGATATACAAGCCCTGAGCTTGGCAATGTGCTGGCACTTTACAAATTCATCTCATTAAATCCTCCCCTAAACCCTATGGGCTAGATAGCCTCAACATGTAGCAGACAGGACAATAGGGGTCTGGAAGGATAAAAACCTCAACTAAGGCCATACAAACTAGATCTCCGATTAATGTTCTTACCTTGCCCCTCTGAAAAGCAGCGAGATCAGTGTCACAGTTATCACAAAGTTAGGGTTAAGCACCAATCATCTCAGATCTTTGTTTTCCTCTTTAACCACCTTATTCAAATATAATTAAATTTGATGACAGCTACTGAGTATAACTCCTTGTACAGCAGATTTAAATCATTATAATTTCACACTATGCTCCATGTCTAGAGATGTTGCTACCCAGCTTGACAAGGGAAGAAAAATAAGAAGTTGTAACCACCCTGTAAAAATCTAACATTGAAAGATGGCCACAAATCATAGGGTTCCACACAAAGGCATGGATTTGAAAAAAACAAAAAACAAAAAACAAAAAACTACAGGTTTTTCTATTTTCTACTCAAGTCTGTATTGCATGCAGAAGCAGATTTAAGTGGCATAAATCAGAAAGTGATAATGGGAACTGAATGAAATTGTCATAAATCACGTTACTAAGTATAGTTACATCTTAGATGTAAAACCCAATTAAACAGATGGCCACATGCTGTCAGAATCAGCCCCTAATCAATAAAGATGTTCATTTTAGAGAATCACCTCAATTTTTCACTTCTTCAGTGAAGCAAAAAGAAGGCAGTTGTAGGGTGGGGGAAGTCCCAGGAAACCCAGTGGGGAAATGTGTAAGAAGAAACTCCACCTGTCTTAATTTGTAGTCCGGAAAATCAGAAAGGAGAGAGGGGAAAATAAAACTCCCCCAAAGGATTCCTTGTCATCTTGCCTGAGAATATAATTTACAATGAGAGCAAGCACTGGTCATTAGGAAAACAGAAACAGCTTGAATCTCTTAATTAAAATACTGTTTCAAATTGTTCATGTTGAAAACCCCTCTGCCCATGAGCTTCCATGAAACCATTGGTTTACCCTGAAATGGCTTCTTCCTCAGTAAACCTCTGATAGGATTAGCCCTTCACAGGCAAGAAAAAGGCTGAGCAGAGGCAAACCCTGGAGATGGAACTATTATTAGACACACTTAAGCACCCTAAGGAGTAGTAAGCCTTCAGTGACATTTTAAAGTGGATGCGGAAACATTGGCTTTTCTTGCATAAGAGCTGATCTCTTACACTCGCTAGACTGGTGAAAATTAAGTCTACCAATGCCAAGAGCTGATGAAAATGAGGAACAACAGAAACACTTCTGTATTTTGGAACACCAGCTTTGGAAAACATTTGATGTTATCTGGTAGATAACTTCTTCCCTATCAGCCAATAATTCCATTCCTGGGTGTATACCCTCACTTGTTTCAAGAGACAGTCACAAGAATATGCAGAGCAGCACTGTTCATAAGCAAAAACCTGGGTGTGGGGACACATAGGCTGGACAATAGAAGAATAAACAATTTGGGGGTATAGTCATGAAATATTATACAGCAGTGAACATGAAAACAGCCTACCATCACATGCTACACGGACAAATCCTACAAACATATTGACTGAAAAAACACAGTTGTTTAAGATTGCATACAGTAAGATACCATTTTTACTATACTAAGAAACAAGTAAAAATAAACTACATATTGTTTAGGGATACCTATATAATTAAAGTTTCATTTAAAAAACAAAGCAAAAAAAATGATAAACCCTCAAATGAGAAGACTGTTACCTCTGTGGTTAGTGGGAGGGATGGTTCCCGATTGGGTGAGGGCATCATAGGCACATATTAATTTTGTCATGTTTTCATATATTCTTTATAACCTATATGTGCCAAAATGCTACATATGTTCTTTCACATGTACCAAATATTAGACAATAAAACGTTTTTAAGTGAATAATCTAAACGATGTCTATTTCCCAAGAGAATATTGTAAATGTGATTATAATTAATAATATATTAAATTATAAGTATTAGTTATAATTAATAACTCAAATATCATAAGTTCCCATATAACATATGCAATTTAGTTCTCAAGTTGGCATTTAGGACCTTAAGAAAGCAATGGTAGCTTAGTGATAATGAATATTTATATAGTAAGAAGTGACATTCAAAATATTTAACAACTTACTTGGTTATGTAAATTAACGTATAAATAAAAAAATCCCGCCATCTGCTTGTCTGTCTTCTTTCTGTTCATTTCTCTCTCAGACCCAAGTCGGGCAGAGACTGCTATTCCTAACAGTGGCCACACGATGGCGGCTCTAAGAAGATCTGCCAGCTAGTAGTGGGCAGCCACAGCCTTCGGGCTGTCCCCTCTGACCAGAGTCCTGTAGGAACAACGGCCAGTATGGAGGACCCACGGCAGACTGGCTGACTGGCCAGAGGGAAGGCAGGACGCCTCCCTGGGGAGGTGGCCTGGCCTTTGAATAAAGATTTGAAGGCAATGGGAGCATAAACCAGGCAGGTCACTTGGGGGGAAGTTTTCCAAGAGAAAGCGAACCCCCGGTATAAATATCCCCAGAGCAGAGCGTGTCAGATGTGCTCTACAAACACGAAGGAGGCCAGTGTGGCTGGAACAGGAGGAGGGAGGAAGAGGGAGAGTGGCAGGAGTTACGGGCAGGAAGATAACAGACCTTAAGGCCATTATAAATAATTTGGTTCTTTCTCTGAGTGAGATGGGATGTTGATAAAAGCTTTCGAGCAAAGAACTGACATGATATGATTGTAAAAAGTCTTAAAATTGCTACAATATTATATTTAGAATAGACTGAAGGGGGGTAAGAACAAAGCAAGGGAAGCCAATGAAGAATCTATTCCCATAATCCAGGTGGGAGATAGTAGTGGTATGAACAAGGGTGGTAAATTCCATCCCCTACATTCAACACCATAGAAATGTGATTAAAACCATGAGATTAGATGTTATCACCAAGCAAGTGAGCAAAGATGGAGAAAAGAGAACAGAAAAGGTGCAAGGACTGAGCCTTGGGGCATGCCATCATTAAGAGATATAGGAGATGAGGAGAAACCAGCAAGGATTTCAGCAGGAGTTGCCCACCTTCCCCAAGACAAGCCACCACCAACCAGAATTTCATGTTTGTCATTCTCATGAATGTCTTTACACTTACACTGCAAATGGATGGACCGCCAAACAATGTGTAGAATTGTTCTGCATGAGTTTCAACTTTATTTATATCATATATCATACTTGATATATTTTCCCAAGTTGTATTTTTCTGCACAACCTAATACTTGTGAAATTCATCCATGTTAATATATATTGCTCATTTTTCACTGCTTTATGGTATTCCTTTGTGTGAATATGCCACATTTGACTCATCTTCCTGCAGAGGAATACGTAGGTTATTTTGCTTTTTCTAGTATTATAAATACTGTTATGAGCATTTTCGCTTGGGCTTCTTTATGCCTTGTGCAGGAGTTCTCTAGGGTAGCTGTTCCCAAACTTTAGCATGTATTAGGTTGTAGGTTTTATGGCACCAGATTTCTGAGCTCCACATCCAAAGTTTGATCAATAGATCTAAGGTAGGGCCTGGGAATTTGCATTTCTAACAAGATCCCCCATGATGCTATTACTGCAGGTCCAAGGACCACATTTCAAGAATCACAGCACTAGAGCACATTCCAGGAGCAAAGGTCATGGTCACAGGTATGCATGGACATCTGCAGCTTTTTGAGATATTGTCAAATTGCCCTGCAAAGTGGATGAGCCAATCTATCTTGCCACCAGCAATGAGTGTGTGTCCTTATTGCCAAGGTTGGATGCTGTCAGACTTTTTATTTGTGCCAAACAGATCTTAATAATGTTTTAAGGCCAGGTGCAGTGGCTCACACCTCTAATCCCAACACTTTGGAAGGCCAAGGTGGACAGATCACTTGAGGCCAGGAGTTTGAGACTAGCCTAGCAAACATGGCAAAACCCCATCTCTACTAAAAATACAAATAAAAAAAATGTAGCTGGGCATGGTGGTGCACACCTGTACTCCCAGCTACTCAGGAGGCTGAGGCACAAGAATAACTTGAACCTGGGAGGCAGAGGTTGCAGTGAGCCAAGATCACACCACTGAACTCCAGCCTAGGTGACAGAGGGAGACTTGTCTTGAAAAAATAATAAAAATAATAATTTTTAAAATTTATCATGGTATTTTAAATTACATATACCTGATACATGTAAGTAGAAAACCTCAAGACATAACTTTCTAGCGTTAATAAGAATATTTCCAAGCTTCTTTCTTACATACAGATGGTCCTCTCAGGTTCTACAATCTGCTCAGTTACCTGCTGTTTTCCCCACCAATCCTAGGAACGATCAAAATGGTATGGACAAAATCAGTAATGCCATTATGAGAGGAAAGTGGAAACTTGCTCCTTTTCATGGCAAACTTCATTATGGTTTAATTTGGTTTACTGTAGTTGATTTTTTTTCAATCAATGGTGACATAAAGCTTTAAAAAAAAAAACTAGTAAGGTGAAGAGAGTGAGGAAAATTTGGCATATGGGTAGGAAAACAACCTTCCTTCACCAGCATACCCTGCCACTTTTGGGGGAAATAAGGAATGCCTTACCCTCCATCATAGTCATGGAAAAGTTCCTTCCATTTTATACCAGATTACCAAGGAGACAAGGAACCAGTACTCACGGATCTGGTTGGTGGATGCACTGTAGAAGGCATTGACGGTCGTTGGATTTGTAAACCACCTGTAGAAAAAGAAACAAATGCCAGAGAGTAATCATCATTATACAGGCAGGAGGGAAGCAAAGACAAACACAGCATGGCTGGGTTTATTAGCAGATAACCACGGAACAATGGGGATGTTGGACATGAGGGGAAATTATTCCCTCAGTTTAGGGTGACTGTACTGCTCAATGAACAATCTCATCCTAAATTGAACACGGCTCAATGAAAATATATTAACAAGCACAGTTATTTATTGTTACTAACTTAACAGAATAAAAAAGTCAGCATACCAGTGCTTTTGAAAAAGGTTTTTTTTTTGTTTGTTTTTTTTTATACTTTAAGTTCTAGGGTACATGTGCATAACGTGCAGGTTTGTTACATATGTATACATGTGCCATGTTGCTGTGCTGCACCCATCAACTCATCAGCACCCATCAACTCGTCATTTACATCAGGTATAACTCCCAATGCAATCCCTCCCCCCTCCCCCCTCCCCATGATAGGCCCCGGTGTGTGATGTTCCCCTTCCCGAGTCCAAGTGATCTCATTGTTCAGTTCCCTCCTATGAGTGAGAACATGCGGTGTTTGGTTTTCTGTCCTTGTGATAGTTTGCTGAGAATGATGGTTTCCAGCTGCATCCATGTCCCTACAAAGGACACAAACTCATCCTTTTTTATGGCTGCATAGTATTCCATGGTGTATATGTGCCACATTTTCTTAATCCAGTCTGTCACCGATGGAAAAAGTTTTAATGAGAAATTCTAGAATCTAAAGGGCGCTCCCTGAAATGGAAACACAGCAAGTATATATTTGCCAGGCCCTGTTCAATGGGTTGAATGGACAACTGTGTTTCTATGCTGCATCACCTCTGGCCTGTCCTTTAAAAAGCTCTGGATTGGTGACAGCACAGAGGTTCATTTAAAGAAAGATGAATAAAGTCCAACTACGCTACCCAGAGGGTCTGCCTGCTCCAGTGGAAAGTGTACTGCCTCTATCACTAACTAGCTGAATTGTGTGGGAAGAGTCACCTACCTTCCTGGGCTTTAGTTTTAGCTATAAAATTAAGGCATTGCATTAGGACATCTTAAGGATCCCTTCTATCTAAGAGGAGTCTACACCCAAATCTTAAATGCACAATAGGTTACTTGGATCAGCAGTCAGCAAATTTTTTTTCTGTAAAGGGTGAGATCATAAATATTTTAGGCTTTACAGGCAAAGAGGCAAAATCAAGGATATTACGTAGGTACTTAAGAGCAAATTGTCCACAGATTTTATTGATGAAATTCAAAAAATAACAATAGTAATCAAGTGCAATTATTTCTTTTTTTTTTTTTTTCTTTCAGAGACAGGGTTTTGGCATGTTGGCCAGGCTGGTCTCAAATTCCGGACCTCAAGTGATCCGCCCACTTCAGCCTCCCAAAGTGCTGGAATTACAGGCGTGAGCCACCATGCCCAGCTGAGTACAATTATTTCTACTACAGGCCTATTAATGAAAATAATGGAATTATTTTGGGGTGAGATAACATTTTGCTTAATTGGGGTTCTAAGTTATGCTTATCCAATTTGCAGGTTCCTCAAAAAACTAAAAATGGAGCTACTATATGATCCAGCAGCCCCACTGCTGGGTACATACCCAAAGAAAGAAAGTAACTGATGAGATATCTGCACTCCCATGTTTGTTGCAGCACCGTTTGCAATAGCCAAGATTTGGAAGCAACCTAAGTGTCCACCAACAGGTGAATGGATAAAGAAAATACGGTACATATACACAATGGAGTACTATTCAGCCAGAAAAAAAGAATGAGAGCCTGTCATTTGCAACACATGGATGGAACTGGAGATCATTATGTTAAGTGAAATAAGCCAGGCACAGAAAGACAAACATTGCATGTTCTCACGTATTTGTGGGATCTAAAAACCAAAACAATTGAAATCATGGAGATAGAGAGTAGAAGCATGGTTACCAGAGGCTGGGAAGGGCGGCAGGGGAATCGGGGAGAAGTGGGGATGGGTAATGGGTACAAAAAATATATAGTTAGAAAGAATGAATAAGATCTAGTATTTGATAGCACAACAGGGTGACTATAGTCAATAATAACTGTACATTTTAAAATAACAAAAATAATATAAGTGGTGTTTGTAACACAAAGGAAATGCTTGAGGGGATAGATACTCCCATTTTCCATGATGTGATTATGCATTGCAGGCCTGTATCAAAATATCTCATGTACCCCATAAATATTTATAACTACTACATACCAACAAAAATTATTTTAATTAAAAAACAAAAACAAAAAACCAAATGAAGTTAGGGCTTCCCCATCATCAAACCAACTGCAAACATTTATCTCTAAAAATTATTCTTAGCTCACGGGCCATACAAAAACAGGCAGCAGGTGAGATTTAGCCCACAGGCATAGTGGCCAACCCCTTACTTAGATGGTTGTAAGTTTCAGTGACTGCTTGTTATGATTAAAACCAAGCAATTCATCTTAAGCTAAATTACTAAAAATAAACTCATAAGCCCAGCAGTGGTATGCAAATATAGTTCCAGCTACTTGGGAGGCTGAGGCAGGAGGACTGCCTGAGCCCAGAAGTTCGAGTCTAAAAAAATAAAAAAGGAAAGAAAGAAAAAAATATGTGTATAAATCTCTTCCTAGAACAATTGTTTTACTCATTTATCTCTAATAAAATAATTATGTCAGACTAACAAATTAATTTATGTCAGGTTAATATGAAACTAATGCGAAATCCAATTGTTGACACTAGTTGATAAACTCATACCTTCTCCCCAACTATAAAGAAGTCTAAGAATATGTCATTCTGTTTTCATTGTCCTTATTTTTAGCTAACATTCACTGAGCACTTACTATGTCCTAAGCACCTTCTATTCATCAGTTTTTTCCCACGGCAACGTAGGAATTATTAGCCCATTTCACAGATGAGGATAATGAGACTTAGGAGCATTATGTACTTGTACAAGGCCTGGTCTGTCTGACTTCAAACCAGTTCTCCTAAGCATTATATTATACTGTAGACATTACTGGAAATCAAGGAAGAGTGCCTCCTCTCTTCAAAACCAAAACCTAGACATATTTCCATAAAATGCATATTCTTTTCCTTCAAATTTAGGGTATTTCAATGAAGCCCTAGTGTTTAACATAAACTTGCTGGTTGGCCTACTTTCCTGAGGAAACAGTGAATGGGAAAGCACCTCTATTGACCTAACTTGGCTACCTGTAGTAGGTAAAGTTATGGCCAAGTCCTAATCCCTGGATCCTATGAACATGTTACATCACATAGTAAGGACTTTACAGGTATAATTAAGCTTAAGGACTTTAAAATAGAGAGATTATCCTGGATTATTCAGGTAGGCTCAATCTAATCACAAGCCCTTAAAGCAGACAACCTTGTCTGACTGGAATCAGAGAGATGCAACAGAGGAGGAAGTCGGAGGAGCCACTGCAGAGCAAGAAGGCAGGGATAGTCTGGGGTGAGAAGGATTTGACACTCTGCTGGCTTAAGATGTAGGGGCAATGTATGACGACTGGATAAAGCCTTCTGAGAACAAAGAGTAGCTTCCAGGCAATAGCCAGCAAGAAAGTAAAGACCTTACCCCTACAACCAGAAAGAACTGGATTCTGCCAACAACCTGAATCCCCTTGGAAGGGGATTCTTCCCAGAGCCTCCCCATAAAAGTCCAGCCGGCTGACACTCTTAATTTCAGCCTTACGAAATCCAAAGCAGAGAAACAACCAAACTAACCCCAGACTTCTGACCTAGAGAACTGTGAGATAATAAATCTGCGTTGTTTTAAGCTGCTAAGGTTTTAGGAGTTTGTTACGGTAGCAATAGGAAACTAATACACTATCCTAAGAACTCAACATTTCTAAGTCAAGAGGGGAAAATCCAGGTGGGTGCCTTGGCTTCTAAATAACATTGGACTGAATCATAATATATACAAAAGATAATGTGTATTCCTAGAGCTTGTCCCTTCTCTTTTTGTTCTTCCCAACTCCCCTCTCTTTAAAATAACAAACTTTTAAAACATTCAGGTAACGGCTATGCAGGGAAAATGTTCCCAACTGCTGGTAGACAAAGGTAGACAAAGCAAACCAAACAACCA